GTGCAGCCACTGGAAAACTGTGGAAGTTCCTCAAAAAATTAAAAATGGAGCTACCCTATGATCCAGTAATTCCACTGTTGGGTATTTGCCCAAAGAAAACAGAAGCACTAATTTGAAAAGATACATGCACCCCTATGTATATCGCAGCATTGCTTACAATAGCCAAGATATGGAAACAGTCCAAGTATCCAACCATAGATGAACGGGTAAAGAAGATGTGCCAAATTCATACAACGGAACAGCACTCAGCCATTTAAAAAAGAATGAAATCTTAACATTTGCAACAACAGGGATGGACCTACAGGGAATTATGCTAAATTAAAAGAGTCAAAGAAAGATGATTACTCTATGATTGCACTCATGTGGAATTTAAGAAACAACAAAGACCAAACAACAACAACAACAAACCTGACTCATAAATACAGAGAACAAACTGCTGGTTTCCCAAGGGGAAGATGGGTGGGAGGATGGATGAAATAGATAAAGGGGATTAAGAGGTACAAACTTCCAGTTACAAAGTAAGTCACAGGGGTAGAGCGTACAGCATAGGGAATATAGTCAACAAGGTTGTAAAAACGTTTGGTGGAGGAGGGGGCCACAAGTCAAGGGACGTGGGGGATCTGTAGAAGCTGAGAATAGTCCTTGGCTGACAGCAAGAAAATGGATGTGGGCTCAGTCCTATATCTTTAAGGAACTGAATTTTGCCAACATCCCACATGAGCAAAGAAACAGATCCCCTAGAACCTCCACAAAGAAATTTAGCCCTGCTGACACCTTGATTTTATTTACTGTGACCCATGTCAGACTTCTGGTGGACAGAATGCTAAGATAGCCAGTGTGTGTTGTTCAACCTGCTAAATTTGTCAGAATTTATTAGGGCAGCAGTAGAAAGTTAATACAGGGTTGAAGGAAGTTTTGATCCTATGGAATGCGATGGGGAACATGGGCTATGTTGATGATAGTGTACCTGGCATGGGCGTAGTGCCTTTAAATTCTTCAGGCCTGGGAAGTATGACCTGGACTTCAAATCTCCCAATCACCCCAGCGAGTACATACTCTCGTGGACCTGTATGAGTGGATCAAGAGCAGCTTTGGCCGTGATGACTGGGAAACTTTAAGGAAGTTCACTGCCAATTACGTGTCTCCATAAGTGGCTCAAAGTCATCTTTTTTTCCTCACCTCTTTGCATCAAATGTCGGTAGAGTGGCTTAATGGAGTTTCTGAGGTGTCAGCAAGCAAGATCCCCAGTGAGGCTTTTGTTTTTTGGGGGGTGCAGGGTATTCAGAAATTAATATCTACCTCTCCCCACTCCCCTAAGCAGAACAACACATAGGGACTCCTTGGCCTGTCCCCAGAAATTCAGATTGAGTAGGTCTGAGGTAAGGCCGGAAATCCACTTTTTAAAAGCTGTCCCAGGATTGTGATAATAGCTAGTAGACTAACCAGCACTTGGGACCTCTGGCCTACATCACCATTTATAATCAATTACGAAATGTAAAGCTTAAATTATGATGCATGATTTGATTTCAATCAAATTGCTAGGTTTGTGAGAGGACAAAAATATGAGAAAATGAATAAAACATACTACCTGCCTTCCAGAGACTTCTAGTCAGAAGACATGATAGACACAGGAGAAACAGAATCTAGAAAAGTATTGTGGGTAAGATTGAGTATGGGCATGTCTTTTATGGGATGGATGGGATTTCTACTGGTGGAGATGGAGGCAAGAAAGGGGCCATATGCATGTGAGAGCTCTGAGGGCTTTTCATTTGGAAACTATCAAATGTAAGAATGTTGAAAGACTAGTGTTACGGCAACTGTAATATAAAACAACCTAGATTTAGTAATTGTTAAAATTTTGCCACATTTGCTCATTTATTTTTCCTGGTGTACCCCCCCCCCCTTTTGTTCTTGCTAAATCTTTTTTTTTTTTTTTTTTTTTTTTTTTAAAGAGTGAGAGAGACCAGGGGTGGAGGGAGTAGAGGGAGAGAGAGAATCTCAAGCAGGCTCCTTTGCCTAGCATGGAGCCCAACATGGGGTTCAACCCCACAACCCCAAGATCATGACCTTAGCTGAAATCAAGAGCCACACACTCAATGACGGAGACACCCAGGCGCCCTTTTCTTGGTAAATCTTTTGAAAGTAAGTTGGTACCATCATGTCACTGCAGTGGAATATGTAAGCATGCATTCTCCAAAAATAAGAATATTTGTTTACATAGCACAGTATCATTAATAAAAGTCTATCCTCAAATTTCCCCAGTTGTCTCTCAAGATGTAGTCAAGGTTTGTGCATTTCATTTGGTTGTTTTATCTCTTCATTTTAAATGGCCTTCTCACCTTTTTTTTTCCTCCCTGTGACATTTTTAACTGAAAAATTTCCTGAGATAAATGTAGATTCATGCATACTTGAGAAATAATACAGAGAAATCCTTTGCACACATTGCCAGTGTCTCTGAATAACATTTTACAAAGCTGTCGTATATTATATCTGGAATATTGACATTGACAAAACATACTGATCTTATTCAAATTTCCCTAGTATTACTTCAACTGGTATGTGTGTGTGTTAATTTCTCTACAGTTTACCAGTTAGGTAGGTTTGTGTATCTATACAAATTTCCAAAATTTTGTCATTTCAAGAATATAATCTTTTGGGATTAGCTTTTTTCTGTCCAGGAGAGTCATCCAAGCTGAGTGACCATTTCTTTTCATTGCTCAGTTGTACTCCAAGGTAGGTACACACTTTGTACCTACAAACCTGCAGTTTGTTGAAACATTTCCCTGTTGGAGAACATCTGAGTTGATTCCATTTTTTGGCTGTTAATGAATAAAACTGCTATAAACATTTGTGTGCAGGTTTTTGTGTGAATGTATGTTTTTATTTCTCTGGAATACTGCCCAAGAGTGCAACTGCTAGACTGTATGGGAGTTACAGGTTTAGTTTTTCAAGAAATTGCCAAGCCGTTTTCTAAGTGGCTATGACTGTCTATACTTCCTCTTAACGTTTCTTTTTTTTAAAGAATCCAAACCATTTTGTTTTCAAATGTCCCATCTACATTTTGAATTTGGTTGATTTTTTTTTTCCTAATAACATCACTCAATTTTTTCTCTATCTCCTGAATTTCCTGTAGACTGAGGTTAAGTCTGGGAGTTTGACTAGATTCAGGTTAGGTATTTTTTATGTTGCGTCACATGAGCCCTTAGGAAGTCATTGTGAGCTGGTGGGCAGCAAGTCTCATTGGCACAGTAGTTAAACACCACACACAGTAGACTTGATAACAGCAAACAGGTACTGGGGGCCTTGGGCTCTTATGCCATGAACCCTGAGGGGTACAAGGTGAGGATCAAGTTCTACTCCTGTAAGGGCCTACTTAGCCAGAGGGAGCCATTTTGTTGTTTATGCAGTAAACCTTGATTGACCCTGCCCCTCCCAGAGGAACTTACTTAAAAGCAAGTCTGGGAACCCAGTCCCAGGTAGCAAAGCCCACATACAAGGGTGGGTCAGGCCAGGTGGAGACATCCAATCAGTGGGGGCGCATACTGCCTCCCTAGCTACCAAGGAGAGTGGGCCCCGCCTTTTGGGTGCCAATTCCGACCAAGGTGATAGGGTAGTTCAAATAGCTACTATGGGGTAAATTGAAATTCAATTGGCCACCCGTGTGTGACCTAGCATGACTATGCAGTTTTCTGTGTTGCGATCTCATTGGCCACCTGTGTGTGGCCAGGCTCAACCGCATGGCCTTTGCTCTATAAAAGTTAGTCTGTGAGGCTGGGAGGGGTTGCCTCTTTGTAAGAGACAGCCCCAACCGGTTGGTTTGATTCTCGATGCTTGGTGAGAAATAAAGCTTTGCTTGACCTTCGCTTTGTATCAGTCTCGCTCCTTTGATCACAGACCCATTACTGGGGGCCCTATCATCCCCAAAGAACTGTCTTTTAAAATTAACTAATTCTCATAGCATGAGCCCACTAATAGTGATATGCCAAGTCGAAGCTTAGAGACAACAGTCAATTCTGCTTTGATGGTATGTATATGGGGTTATAAGATTTAACTGAAAGCTGAAGTTTGAGCTGGCTCTTGAATAAAAGAAAACAGATCCCAAGTAGAATAGTAATAGTATGCTGAGATAGAGTGCATTTTTGGATGTCCTTGGTTTCCAAATTAAGGAATTCAAATTTATGGCTAATGAAGAAGATCTGAAAGTTTCTGGTTTTGATCCATTTTTATTGCTTTGTTTTATTTGTTTTTAAAGGTAAACTGTATTAATATTGAGGCAGTGGAAAGGGTGGATGGTAGCAGGCTGGGAGATCCAGGAGTAAATCATTACAGTTGTGTATGTGAAGTGTCCAAAACTAGGTGCAATAAAAAGAAAGAGTAGGGTTCAAATATTTAAGGTTAGAATTAAAAAGCAAGCTGAAGCCTTTGTGGCTATGATAATGCCTTATTAAATGAGTTTGCAACATACTAGAGGTCTGGGAGGGAAGATGAATATTAATGTGTTATGAGTGTACAGGACAGTAAAGCTGTCCATCCAAGGAGACTGTTGGAAACATAGTATCTGGAGCTCAGGTGACAGCGTAAGGAGGTGATTATTGATACTGTAAATCCCCCGGAAGGAACTGGTTTAGGGAAAAGAGGCTTAGGATGGTTTAAAGGGCAGACAAGAAAATGAACTAAGGTGTTCAATCACAGTGGTGAAGAAGCTTGCTGTTCAGCAGCATGCTACAACTCCCCTCTAAGGGAGACTGAAATGGCTTAGTTAGGCAAGTGCTTGCCGCTGACCCTCCAGGTTCATTAAGTTCACTCTCCTACAGTCAGCTCCGACAGGTGAAGGCGTGAGTCGCAAGTTGCGTGCACGCATGCGCCGGAAAAGTCCTGGCGAGGCGGCCGGAGGACTGCGCCTGCGCACTAGCAGGCCGGCAGTTAAGCGCAGACCTGTCCCGCAGAGGATGGAGGAATGGAGGCTCCCCAAGAGTTGCGTAGAGGTTCCAACACAGGTGATAACTGTGGCGGGCGGATCCATTCCCTGTACACAGCCCCTATACTTCAGAGAAGTCCTCCTGCCAACCTGGAAAATATGCACAGCAGAACGTCGGGATTTTCTTTGATTCGTTACACCCAGGACCAAAACAAGACCATGAATGGTCTTGACCAAAACATGCCCAAGGACCAGAACAAGGAGGGCGCTGGGCACCGGCTGCTGAATGTGAGTGGCGCCCGGCCGGCGGCGTCTGTCCCCTCCCTGACCACCGAGAGGGCTGGGCAAGGATCCAGGGGTCAGTGCAGTGGGAGAGGAGACCTGCCCTAAGTTGGAAGGTGTTCATAACCGAGGAAGCGCTTAGTTGTGGGACCTTGAAGATTATTTAACTTGTCAGAGCCTTGTTTTATTAACTTAAAATAAGACAATAATTTAGATAATAATTATGACAATCTGCCTTACTTATAGGGTCGTCTGAAGATCTGAGGGAGATAATGATGTAAAGTGCTTAACAATGCAAAGCGCAGAGTAAAGAATTGTCAGCTGTTGTCATCACCATCATTAGGAATTCATTTATATGGTTAAAGGGCTAAACTCCAGAAACTTCAGTTACCTTGTCTTCAATTCCTGTGGTTCTTACAGATGAACTTATAGGAGCAAATCCGTGTCATGTCTGAAAGTGAATTATTGGTCTTCTGTTAATAATTAGGAAGATTAATTTATATTTGAAATGTGTGAGACGCTTGAGTTTACCATATAGTGGTACAGGCAGAGGATGGAGGAAATGGAAAAGGAGAATCACATTGAAACTCACCTTTTCAAAGCATTAGAAGATGATTAGGAAATTTTACAGTCTCTCTTAGTCTTAAGTTATTAAAAGAATAGTACAGTTAAAAGTATCAGGAACAAGTGGTACACAAAAAGATGATGTCCTCTGTAAAATCAAGGAGTTGAATAACTTGATCTCTAAAGTACCTTCCTAATTCCAAAAACTTAGAATACTCTTGGGTGATTGTTAAGTTAAATTGAGAGCATATTAGGATTTAGCTATAATAGTAGGAAAAATTTGTAAAGGTTGCGTAAGAGGGGTGTGCTTGGAAGTTTGCACCATAGAAGGTGTTTGTTGTACGTCGTTTTAAGGAATATGTACTTTATTTTGTAGAATGGTGATTTCCACTGCTTTTTTGAGTAATAGGATTCCTTTTTATTGCCAAAAAAAGGGAAAGTTCCTCACAGAAGAGTAACTGGCTCTTTACTGCCTACTGACTGGGAAAATCTGTAATGATGAAAAGCTACCATGCAGCAATGTTTTTAATTTGCTGATAGGTACAACACCAGCTACCTATAGTCAAAACAGAGTTGTGCACCTATATGCATGGTACAGTGTTTACCCAAGTTTGGTTTCCCAAATATTTGACCATAGAATATTTTAATATTTTGACAGAACAACAAAAAGAGCGTAGGAAATGAAATGTGCACTTGAATTTAGTTGTAATGCTCTTATAGATGAATTCCTTTCAAACCTAGATGCAGAGGAATGAGTTCATGTGCTGTAGATGTTCATTATACAACAAATTTAGAGTAATATGAGAATATGTTATTAAAATTATTATAATAGCTGTAAGATACACAGTGTAGACCATTGAGCACAGAATGAATGGCCTCCTTAATAAATCTGCCTATGCATTGGTACACAGATGGAACATTGTATATTTAGGCAACATGTAGTCTTTCTATGATTTCTTAGCATTTTATGGCACATGATTTCTTGAAAGCAGATTATCATAGAGTAATAACAGCTATATAAATGGCTTAGCATTTTCTATTCAAAATACAGTTTTTTTAAAGACTTGGAGGCAAATACCTCGCTGAGTTATATTTCACATTGCATCAGAATACATTTTGGAAAACAGTAGTTTGCAGATAATGCTTAGAATACATTTGATTTCATGGATGTCCAGAGTTGAGAACCATGGCTACAGGAGGTAGGAAAAGCTGGTGGATTTTAAGCAGGGGGAAGGCATGAATCAGATGGGCTGTGTTGAAAAAAATGTTTGACTGTGAGGGTTTAAGGAGAGATGAAGAAACAGTAGGCAGTGAGGACAGCAAAATCTCTGAGCGATGGGAAAGCATGGGCTTGAAAGCACAAGAAGCAGTATCCTTCTTGGATAGGAAGAAGGGCATCTCTTCCTCCAGACCAGTGTTTATTTTATCCTTGGATCACCAGTATCCAGATCTTCAGGGGTGCTTATTAAAATCTAGATTCTTGGGCCTCCATTTTAGACCTACTGAATTAAGAGGGCTGGGGCCCCAGAATTGTGCTCAACTCTTAAACTACTCCAACGGTTCTTAGGTTCATGTTTGAAGATTACCACAGATAGTGGGAAAAGATAGGCATGGATGTGGGGGGTGTGGATTGAGGGTGTAGGTGGGAGAAGGAAGCAAATGGAGTCAGAAGAGTTTCATGAACTGGGTGAAAGAAAAAGGAGGGAAAAGTGACTGGAGGCTTGGGGAGATTAAAAGAAGGTTTATTGAATGTGTTTCACTGGGTATTGTGTGTTTCACTGGGTATTTCCACCTTGTTATATCTTGTGTGAGGGTTTGTTTGTTGTTTTTTTTTAGTTCAATTATGATTCTGTTAAAAGATGGTTTTCTTTAAGTATAGCTGACACACAGTGTTGCATTAGTTTCAGTTGTACAACTTAGTGATATGGCAAGTTTATACATTGTGCTATGTTAACCACAAGTGTAGTTGCCATCTATCCTGGTACATTGTTACTACAGTATCACCGATTATGCATTCCTTAGGTTGTGATTTTTATTCCCATGATTTATTCATTCCATAACTGGAAGCCTGTATCTCCCTCTCTGTCGACCCATTTTCTCCAATTTTTCCCTCCTCCTCTCTGGCAACCATCAGTTTCTTCTCCATATTTATAGGTCTTATTCTGCTTTTTTGTTTGTGTATTTGTTTTATTTATTAGATTTCACTTATGAGTGGAATCATATGGTATTTGTCTTTCTCAATGAGTTATTTTGCTTAGCATTATACCATCTAGGTCCATCCATGTTGTCTCAAATGACACAATTTCATCTTTTTTATAGCAGTGTAATATTCCATTGTATGTCTGTACCACATCTTCTTTATCCATTCATCTGTGGATGGATACTTGGGTTGTTTTGATATCTTGATTATTATAAATAATGCAGAAATAAACATAGGGGTGTGTATATCTTTTCAGTTAGTGTCTTTTTTTTTCCTTTGGGTAGATACCCAGTAATGTGATTGTTTGATCATAAGGTCATTCTATTTTTAATTTTTGAGGCGCCTCCATACTCTTTTCCCCATTGGCTGCACCAGTTTTCATTCCCACCAATAGTACATGAGGGCTCCTTTTTCTCCACATTTCACCAACACTTGTTTCTTACGTTTTTTATTTTAGCCCTTCTTACAGATGTTAGGCGAAATCCCATTGTGGTTTTGTTTTTGCATTTCCCTGGAGATGATGATGTTGAGCATCTTTTCATGTGTTTCTTGCCCATCTGTATGTATTCTTTGGAGAAATGCCTAATCAAGTCCTCTGTCCATTTTTTTAATTGGATTGCTTGTTTTCCTTGTTTCCTTGTTGAGTTGTATGAGCTTTATTTTGGATACTAACTCTTTATCAGATACATTATTTGCAAATATCTTCTCCCATTTCATAGGTTGTCTTTTAGTTTTATTGATAGTTTCCTTTGTTGTGCAGAGGCTTTTTATTTTTATTTATTTATTTTTAAAAGATTTTATTTATTTATTTGACAGACAGAGATCACAAGTAGGCGGAGAGGCAGGCAGAGAGAGAGAGAGAGAGAGGAGGAAGCAGGCTCCCTGCTGAGCAGAGAGCCCAATGTGGGGCTCGATCCCAGGACCCTGGGATCATGACCTGAGCTGAAGGCAGAGGCTTTAACCCACTGAGCCCCCCAGGCACCCCAGAAGCTTTTTATTTTGATGTAGTCTCAATAGTTTATTTTTGGTTTTGTTTCCTTTGTCTTAGGAGACACGTTTAGAAAAATATTGTTGCAGCTGATGTCACAGAAATCACTGCCTGTGCTCTCTTCTAGAATTTTATGGTTTCAAGTCTCCCATTCAGTCCTTAACCCATTTTGAGTTTACTTTTATGTATGGATTAAGAAAGTGGTCCAGTTTCATTCTTTTGCATGTAGCTGTCCAGTTTCCCAACCATTTGTTGTAGCGACTGTCATTTTCTCATTGCATAGTCTTGCCTACTTTGCCAAAGATTAATTCACCATATAATCATGAGTTTATTTCTGGACTTTCAGTTCTGTTCTATTGGTCTATGTATGTATTTTTCTTTTTATTTTTTACTTAAATTCAATTTAATATAGAAGATATTTAGTTTCAAGGGTAGAATTTAGTGATTCATCAGTTGCATGTAACACACAGTGCTCATTATACCAAGTGCCTCCCTTAATGCCTGTCACCCAACTACTCCCTTCCCCACCCACCTCTCCTCCAGCAACCCTCCATTAGTTTCTTATAGTTAAGAATCTCTTATGGTTTGCCTTCCTCTCTGCTTTTATCTTACTTTATTTTTCCTTCCCTTTCCCTATGTTCCTCTGTTTGGTTTCTTAAATTCCACATATGAGTGAAATCATATGGTATTTGTCTTTCTCTGACTGACTTATTTCACTTAGCAGAAATACCCTGTAGTTCCATCCATGTCATTGAGATTGACATGATTTCATTCTTTTTGATGGCTGAGTAATATTCCATTGTATGTTGTCAATGGGAGTACCAATGCTCATATTGGAAAAGCTTGACAGTTTCCAAATAGCAACTTTGGAAAAGTTTGATAATTTCTTATAAAAGTAAACATATGCTTAACATATAAGCCAGGAATCCCACTTCTATGTGTTTATGTAAGACAAGTGACAACAAAAGTCTATACAAATACATCTTGTTCATCCATTCATCTGTTGGTAGACATCTGGGCTCTCCATAGGTCAGCTATTGTAGACATTGATGCTATAAACATCGGGGTGCATATGCCTCTTCAGTAACTATTTTTGTATCCTTTGGATAAATAGCTAGAAGTGCAATTTCTGGGTTATAGGGTAGTTTTATTTTTAAATTTTTGAGGGACCTCCATACTGTTTTCCAGAGTGGCTGCATTAGTTTGCATTTCTACCAACAGTATAAGAGGGTTCCCCATCCCTCACCATTATCT